AAGCCAGTGTGGAAAGTGAAGGCGCCCTCTCATGATTGCAGAGGGAGATGCTGCTCTCAGCAGGCCTCACTCAGTGGCCCCGCAGGACTCCTTGACCTGCGCTTTCCCGCTGTCCTGGGCCTGATGCCCGGGCGGTCTCCCGAAAGATCTGTGCGTACTGTGCTGGGAAGACCCAGCCCCACTGGCTGACCATGATGGCACCTCTCCTCACAGCGGGGCTGCCCTAAGTCCACCCCACACCCACATCGGAAAGTGGCTGTCCTTCAGGACCCCACGGAGGGAGGCTCAGAGAGGAGCGAGGCTCTGTGCTGGGCCCTGGGCCCTGCAGGGTCCCTGACACACTGGCCAGGCCCTGCTGGGTTGCTGTGGCTTCCTCAGGGAGCAGGACCGGTGTCACCTCCCAGCAGGGCTCTTCTTCCCCTAAGCTCCAGGACTCCATGGTCCTCCAGACACAGGTCAGAGGCTCACAGGGGACACTGCCGTCTTGGCCATGCTTTGGTCAGGCCTGGGACGTGCCTGAGAGTCCCTCTCTTACACTCCTCCCCACACCATGCATCCCTGCCCTCCCCAGTGGCTGAAGTTATGCATCAGAATCCTTTGTCCCTGGCCTGCACACCTGTCACAGAAAGATCTCCTTGTGGACCCCCCAGTCAGGATGACTCTCCGTCCACACTCACCTCTCAGAAGAGGACAGTGCTCCCTCAGGTCACTGTCCCCGAGACTGCTGGCCCATGAATGGTGAATGCGCCCATCTGCGCTGGCCTGGGAGGAAGCCACATGGGGGAGAAGGGCAGTGCCGGCAGGTCCACCTGACCGCCTGGCTGCTGGGGAAATTGCTCTCCGACAGTGCCAGGGAAGGGGTGAGCCAGTGGAACTCGACAGTGGACAGATGTTATTCCAGACTGCTTCCCTGTGCGAGAAGGAAGAAATTCGCTACATTTAGGGTGCGGGATCCCTTAAAGGAGCTGCAGAGACCAGCCAGCCACCGAGGGGCCAGCGGGGACTCCTGGGCCACTGAGCTGAAATGGGTGCCTGCAACCAGCAAGAGGGCAGAGCCAAGCTGTGACAGGCATCCCGCAAACCACTGCAGACTGCTCCAGCCTGGGGCCAAGACGCAGCTCTATGGGAAGCAGCCTGTGTGCATCTGCCCCAGGGGCCTAGAGCCAGGGACAGCTCTGGGAGACAGTGTGGCACAGGGCAGCACCAGCCTGTGTGCCACTCGAGCCTGTGGCCCAGGCACACCTTGGTGGTGTGTCCCCTCTTCCACCGGCAGGGGTGTCCCCGGGCCAGAAGGAGCTGGAAGGAGCCGTGAGCTGCATGGCTTGTGCAGGCTGGGGGCAGGTAAGAAGGAGAGGGCTGAGGGGGCAGCAGGGCTGGGTGCAGGGCTGTCCTGGTCACCCGAGTCCTGGTACTTGCTGAGCAGACTCCTCTCCTGGCACCCCTGAACCCTGAGCAGGTTCCTCTTCTCTCCATACTGTGGCTCTGCTCTCCAAGACTGAGGGAGGGCAGTGGCCAGGGCCCTGAGGGTGGGCCTGAGGAGCTGGACCTCTGTCCAGCCCAGCTTCAGCCCGGTGACCCCAACAAGCTCAGAGTGGGTCCTCCCTCACCACACAGCCCTGAGGGAGCCATGACCTGGCCTCTTCTTGCTGGGCCAGGCACTCAGGGCCCGAGGTCTCAGCTCTGCACAATCAAGGGGCAGAGCTGAGAGATGCAGCTGCCCACACGCCCAGACAGCGCCAAGAACAGGGCAGCCGTGAATCGCCTCACAGTGGGCCTGGAACAGGGAGAGCCGGGGAGAGGGGGAGCAGGGGCTCACGATGTCCCCGGGTGACAGTGATGTCTCCTGTGCTCATCATCTCTGCCACTGTGTGATGGAAGCCTTGGGTGTGACCAGGGGCCACACCGCACGGGGGCATCTTGAGACAAGGTTCCCTGAGAAAGGCACTGGGCACTCCAGGGCGAGTGTGCATGCTCACACTCATACAGGGTCACACACACACTGATACACACGAAAGCATGCAACCACACATGCACGCGGTCACATTCACATGCACCTACATTCACACACGTGTGCAGAGACACCCATACACACAGACACACTTCTACACTCACACAGACATCTGTGATCACAGGACCACACGGTCCTCTGCAGCTGCTTCCGGCATGGGTGGCCTCTCCCTGCATGCCCCCCTCACCGCGTGCCCTCACCGCCCCGGCATCCTCTGCACACTGAGCTCATCTCCAGCCCAGAGGGGGCCTCCAGGTGTAACAAGGCCCACAGGCTCCATGTGGGAACTCCTGCCCTGGCTCTTCAAGCAGGCAGACACACCCCTCAGCAGGTATGGTCACCCCACCGGGGCCAGGTGTGTCCCTCAAGACGTGCGGTCACCTTGCAGGCCGACACTCCTGTGACCCTCTTGAGACGTGAAGCTGAAGCTCAGTGAAGCGAGTTGTCAGGTCCCAGCCCGGCAGGTGACATCCAGATGCCCCTACAGCCAGGATTCGAGGTGGCAAGGGCAGGGCCGCAGGTTTACCTGTGCGCCCTCCCTTCACGTGCCGCATGCCCTGCATGCCCTCTGTCTCCAGAGAAGCCTCCTGACCTCCGCTCAGTCCTGTTCCACTGCACAGACTGAGGCCCATGGCGGAAGTGTGGTTCAGTGCATCCCGCCATGGAAAACAGCGGAGCGGGGCCTGAGCAACTCTGTACCACGATGGTCCACACCACGGGCCCAGGTGGAGTGGATGGAACTGGAGTCCTTTTCACTGGACTGCAGAGCTGGCCACCCGAGGACAACACCTCCAGCTGCTGTGTGGCCCTGGCACCTGAGGGATAGAAGGGCTTACCTGGCCCCTGCAGAGCCCCAGAGGGGGTGCCGTGGTGACTGCCCACCCCTGGGCAAGGACACTGAGGACCACAAGCTGGAGCCGTGAGCAACAAGATGAAGACGGTGCCCCCCTCTCCTTCCCGTTAACACCTGGGACAGAACAGGCTTGCAGCTGGTGCTGGACCCCGAGATCCTGCAGGAAGCCTCCTGGGGACCTGTCCCAAGAGCAGCACCCCAGGCCCCCTCTGTGGCCAGCCCTGCTCATTACACAGCAGAACCTAGGCCATCCTGATCGGCGGGGACCTGCTTTCTCTTCACCAGCTGCTGGATCCTAGATTCAGTCAGAGGAAGGAGGCGGACCCGCCACCCCACCCTGCCTGACTTGGTCCTGACCGGAGCCCTGGGTAACTCACCAAGGCAGAGCTTCTGCAGAGGGGCCCTGGGTGGACAGACAGGCCATGCCTGGGCTCTCGGGACAGCTACAGCACACTTGGGCTGCCCCTCTGCAGGTCTTGTCCACCTGCTCCCATTGCCCAAACACCAGTGATGTCTCTGAATCAACCACAGGCCACAGCTGTCCAGGTCAGTGCTTCTAAAGAGTATCTGGACTGTGACCTCCTGGGGAGGGCCATACGTGGGGACCTGGCAGCACAATGCTCTGGACCTCAAGGTCCTTCAGTCTCCCCTGGGAGCCCCAGGGCCCTGAGGGGGGTTCCAGCTCCATGTCCTGAGCTGCATATGGTCAGCTTGCAGCCCCAGGGCACAGGTGGCAACACCCAGCATCTACCCTCCCTTGGGCTGCCTGGCCACAGGAGAGAAATGAAGTGCCACCTTCTGCCCAGCCAAGGCACTCTGAGGTGTGGGGTTCACACCAGGGACGTGGGCACCCCATCCTGTCCACTTGCTTCAGAGGTTCCCCTGTGGCTCCGTCCTTGCACTGCGGAGGGATCTCTGTGGCCAGGAGGCTCTGAACCTGTGAAACTGGGTCTGTGTCACCTGCTGTCCCCACCGGCCACTCGGGCTGTGGCCCTCTCCCAGGAAGCCACGGCCAGGGAACAAAAGCCATGCTTATCAAAGGACTTTTTCTTTATTTTTATAATTTAGCTGAATCAACACAAAATTGAATACTGTAAAACAAGGGAAAATATGCTGTCACATCTTAAGTCTCCCGGTCTGTGCCCCAGCGGGGTCTACACCTGCTTTCCGTAGAACAGCGGGGAGGCGGTGGAGACCCTGGCAGGTGGGCATGTGGGGACCTCGAATCCTGTCTCTGGAACAGGAGCAAGGCCGGCCGATGGAGTGGCACACAGCGGGCAGTTTGCTTCAGTCACCTCTTCTGCGGTGATACCCACTCGCCACCTCCCCTCTGTCCAGCACAAATCCCTTCACCATGCGGTCACTGCGCTGAGCAGGGCCGCAGTGTGGCCAGCACTTAGAGGAGTGGGCCTGCTCCCCCGGGGCCTAGCCTGTGGGTGCTGGGACAGCGTCTACACACATAGTTTATGGTTCTTGTTACTTTTTATTAGCATAGGTCTAGCATATACTCGTGTTAATTGGACTCATAGGTAGTATACTTCAGCAGACGTCAGGAAAAGGGAGAAAGGAAGCCAGGGACCATCAGTGGGGTGGGGGATCAGGCCTGCCCCTTCCCCTCGGCCAGCCCCGCAGTCAGTGCCCGCCTTGCAAGACGAACACAGCGGATGGTGTCTGGGCCCCCGTACCCTGCTTCTGTGCGTCCTGACGCGGACACAGAGGACTCTGGGCCCCCGCAGGAGGAGCAACAGGCTGCAGTGGGCCTCGAGACCTCTGAGTGGCAAAGGAGTGTGGGAAAGGGAAAGAGGACCTCCCAGAAGGGGCACAACTAGATTACTGTACGCGCACTGCCTCCCAACACACAGGGCACGGCGGGGCCACACCGCCACCCCAACCGCGTAGAGAAACCGCTCTCCTGGGCAGTGGCCGGGAGCCCACAGGACACGGCCGTGGTCCTTGGCTGCCTCTCCTGCAGCCCTGCCCTTGTCTGCCGGAGCCCTGGGTGCCATGCAGCTCACCACAGTGTCTCTGCAGACACCAGGGTCCAGCCCCCAAGCTGGGGACCGCTGGGGCTCCCACATTAATGGTTAAATAGGATTTTTCTACAAATATACAACATATAAAAACTGTTAAATATATAACTTTAGGCTTTGCAAAATACATTTAATGATCTCTTTCAAACAAGTGTTACTTCAGTTTCCTTTAATTTGCTTTCTGGAGCTAAATGGCGTATCGGATGAGACAGCAGTCACGGGAGACCCAACATGCTCTTGGCGAATACTGGATTATCCAACTATCAAAAATGGAGCTGTAGAAGAGGCATGTTTAACTGTTAAAACAGAAAGTGATTTTAGTATGATCAAGTCGGTAAGCACGGAGGAGGTGGAGGCGGAGGCGGAGGAGCAGCAGGCCCGTGTGCCCAGGAGTCTGCGCTGTCCGCGTGGTGGCTGTCGCCGGCGGTGCTCTGGCCGGGTCCAGCAGGGTCTCCGCGGCGCTGTCCTCCCGGCCTCGCCATCCTCCTGGGGCGATGCCGCATTCGTGAGAGGGGGCCTCGCCTCGGCCACGGCACCCTCTCCTCTGCGGTGATGCCCGCCAAGAGCCGCCCCAAGAGCCGCTGCAGGTCTCTGCCCGTGCCCGCCCCGCCCGCCCTAGGACTCTGACAGTAAGGGCGCGTCCACGTTAAAATAGATTTTGCTCTTTGGTCTATTGAGTATACTGAAAGTATAAGAAAATAAAAGCAATTCAGACAGTCTGGGGCCCAAGGAGGGCGGCTCCGGCGCCAGACAGTCCCGGCCCGCGTCGCGGCTCCGCTGGCTGTACCGTGGCTTCCTCCGGGTCCCGGTCCTCTGGTCCTCGTCCTCCTGCTCCGAGGTCAGCAGGGCTGCTGCAGGGCGGGCGCGGCCAGGCGCCACAGGCCGAGTATTGCTGATGCCCAGCGCTGCCCTCACCTGAGTGTCCAAGTCCTGACCTCCTGGGTGCGGCCGGGTAGCCCAGGGTGCCGCGTGAGTGCCAGGAATGAGGCTGTGTGGCACGGGTCGCAGGAGCCAGTGGGCGGGCGGCAGAGGATGGGTGACATCCGCGGAGGAGGGGGCCTTGGCCGAGATGCGGCTCTCTGGGGAATGGAGACCACTGCTGGGCCCGCAGGGGCTGCGTGTGTCAGGAGACCTGGGGAACAAGGAGAAGAGCATCAGCCTCAGAGGACACTATGGGCCTGGAGACTGGCCCCAGGGACAAACGCTACTGGGAGGCTGTCCTCGGTGGGGACAGTGTCCTTGCACAGGGCTGGCCTCTGTCCTGTGGGGAGTGCAGCGGTGTCACAGCAGCCCGCCTTCCCGAGGTGCCTGCATGGGCCCTGCCATAGCAGCTGCAGCCCAGCGCTCACAGAGCTGGGAAGAGGTCTGCCCAGGGACCAGCACCTCCTTTGAGTGGCAGCTGGGCCCTCAGCAGCTGAGTTCCAGATCCCAGGGGGACAACAAGGGCCAGCAGGCCGGGTCCTGCTGCCACAGCAGGTCTTTGCGTGGGGGCTATCACTGCAGATCCGAGGGAGGCTGAGGCCCTCCTGGCTGGAGGCCACACCTTGGACTCTGTCTTTGCAGGTCCTTGTGCCCAACCAGCCATAGACCAGATGGAAAGGGTCTGGATGACCGTGTGTCTGCGTGCCGAACACGCATGGCCTTTTCCTCTCTTGTCATCGTGCCTGTAGCGACACAGGATGGCCAGCACCTGCAGGGCAGGCTCACTGTGTCACACCCTGGGGCGACTCCCAGCGGGTGGAGGAAGTGTGCGGGTGGACCCTGCACCACCTGTGGGAGGGATGTTAAGTGCCCTGGGGCCTGGCATCCAGGGCCCCGCAACGGGGCCCTGTGGACCCTGGGGTACTGTGCACACCACCGAACATGCACAGGGTGCCCACTTGCTGCCCAGAGCAAGGGGTCACAACTCATTTCCTGTCTTCATCCAGGGCCACTGAAGCACCAGGGTGAAGGGACTGTAGGTGCTGAGCAGACCCCCAGGGGGGCCCGGGATCCCACCTAGGAGCTGGCCCATTCCTTGTCCAGGACCACTGCGCTCGTGAGCCAGATGGCCCATCCCTGGTCCCTGGAGGGCGCTGCAGGCTTGGCAGCTGCAGCAAATGGGCAGGGAGGCCCCGTGGTCCCCACAACGTAAACCTCAGCCAAGAGCCACAGGAACAGGCTGGGTCCTTCTGGAAGGTGTTTTGTCAGGAACACGGCTGGGCTGGGTGGGGCACTGTCTGAGGTGCCCAGAAAGCAGCCGGAGCTGTATAGGTGGGGAAAATACGTTGGTTTACTCCTCAGGAACTTGCTCTTCCTCAGCTCTGTCCTGAGGCTCCCCCACCACCCCCATCACCCTGCACTTTTTGAATGTGCACGGTGAGTGGATCCCAGAGACTTGTGCTGCAGACACGCCTCCACTCACAGCTCCCCAGCTCAAGAGCTGCCCCAGGCCCTACCCAGTTCAGTTCCAAGTGCTCCCAGTGCCCTGAGGCCACTCCATGCTGAGGGGCTTTGCCCTGGCTGGGCCACTGGCCTCACCCACTCTCTGCTTCCTGTGGCCTGGCCATGGCCACTCCTCCAACAGCCACCAGAACTCTCCACCTGCCTGGACCCCGTGTCTGTGCCACAGAGCAGGGCCACACAGCCTGGTCCACGCAAGCCAGGGGCCTGCACGCACAGCTTGGACACGCCATGCCGTACCATGGAGTCAGCCATGGCCTGGCTACCACTGGTGGGGCTTCTTAGGCCCAAGTGCCCTGGGGCTGCTGCAGGTGAGAGGCACACGCAAGGCACTGCTGTACAGTGCGGTTCTGTGGGCAGAGGTCTGGCCTCAGGCAGGCAGGGTCATCCAGGCCTCTCTGAGCTCGGGTTGGCCATGGTCACCTGGCAGCTCTGTGGCCTGAAGCTGCGTCCCCCGATAGCCTTCTCCCTGGGTCTTGGTCCCTCTGGCTCTTTGGCTCTGTCTCTCCTTGGGAGCCTTAATGATATTACATCTGCAGAGACCTCATTTCCATGCAAGGCCCCCACTGGCCTGGTGGGCTTACCTTTGGGGTCCTTACCCAGCATACCATGGGTCCTGCCTGCCCTTCCTTCCTTACCCCCAGAATGGCTGAGCTGTCCCATTTGCTCCTGTTTCTCACCACCGGCGCTGACACTGATCTCCACAGCTCACCCTCTGCCTCCTGCTCCCTGGGCACAGCCTGGAGAGCAGCGCTGCCCCCGTCCCTGTTCCATCCCCCGGCCACACTGCCTCCCTCTGAGGTGGGCACTGGTACACTCACATGCACTCCTGTGGCCCATGGGCTTCAGGAGTTACCGATTTGCCTTTGATCTGCACAGTTGTAGAACTGCTCCTTTACAGAACTACGGAAATACGGAAGCGTACACACACACACAACCAATGTCCACACATCTCCACACCTACGGTGCAGCCGACCACGCACTACTCCTCCCCCGTCAACATGACTGTGTGTGTCAGGAGAGGGCCAGCAGCCGGGCCCTGGGACCAGAGGATGGGGTGGATTCGGGCGGCCTGCAGACCGCACCCTGGGCAGTGGCTCAGCGTGAGCGCTCGGTCAGTCAGCACTAGCACTGCGCAGTCTGCCAGATGCACAGCGTCCTCCGGCTGCACAACCGCGTTTTCCTGTTGCTCCCTCTTTGTGTGTGCATGTGTGAAGACAAAAGCACAGTAATTGTCCAGCCACATTTCCAGCCACTGCCACGTGGCTCCAAGTCTGTGTCGTGCACTCGAGGGAGTCCTGCCTGTCTCCCTGAGGTGGCCCACAGAATGTCAGGCCACCCCGCTTGTGCCTCGAGTGTCTCCTGAGGATGCTGCAGGCCTGTGTCCAGCCTCTTGTGTTTGTTCACGCGACACAGGATGTGGTGACGCCTTTGTGTTGTGCAGCCACCAGTCTCTCATGTGGCTTTCCCCCCTGTGGACAATCACTCGATGTGTGTGTTCTGGTCATCTCCCACTCGGCCTGGCTCCACCTGGAATCTCTTGCTTCCCCCAGCAGCTGCCAAACCTCAGCCACGCTGGGGTCACCCCACCCACCTCGGCCTCTCGCCCCTCCTCAGCCTGTGAGCCTGCCCTCCTGCTCCGGGATGTCCCGTGGAGGGATAGCCACCAGACATGGGGTGAGTGACCCCAGGTTTTAGCTACTTAGGTCGGCTAAGCCTGGAGTTGAGGGTCAGTGGGATCTGGGTCTGTCTTCTCAGGCCGGCTACCACTGAATGTCCCACCCAGCTGGACAGAGACGCCACCTCGAGTCTGGCTGCATGGGGACAGGCATGGTGCCACCGGCATCCTCCTGCAGGCTACAGGGCAGGGAGGACCAAGAGCCTCAGGAGAGGGTGGGCTGCACTGGCCAGCAAGGCTGGGAGCATGAGGACCATTCATGCTTACATCCTGGAGTCCCCCAAATGGGACCTCAATGTCCACAAGGCAGCTTGGAGTGAACAAATGGGGGAGAGACCAAGGAAGAGAGGGACTGGCAGAAAAGCTCGGCAGACACTGAGTATCATCCCCAGAAACCTGCCCTCTGCCCTGCTGTCCTTGCCGGGGTGGTGGCTGCCTGCTGTCTCAGGCTTCCCCTGCCCATGTGCACGCTGGGCAGGGCCAGCTGAAGCTCAGCGGCCGCCTGACACCAGCTGCCTCGAGGCCCTGCACTCAACCTGGCAGGAAGTCCGCCCTGGAGCCCAGCACTGCCGAGCCTCGGTTCACGGCAGGCCTAACCAGGGTAGTAGGGAGGCTCTGCAGAGGCCAAGTGTTTCCAAAACCCTTGGGTACCCTCAGGGCCCACGGGTCTCTGCACCCGGTGCCAGGGGCAGCTCTACTTGTGGGCCCACTCAGTCGGCAGCTAAGCCCTGAACTCCCACTTTCATGCCAAGGCAGAGCATCCCTCTGAGGCTGACCTTTTCGGGCTACCTCCAGCCTTCCCGCTCTCTGGTTTCATGGGTGGGGTCCTGGGCACAGTCCCTGTGACACTTTCCAGCTGGTCCACTAAGACACCGAGTGCCCAGTGACCCAGGCCCTCAGTTTATGGGCTGTGTCCTCCCCATCTGTGGCTGGTACTTCGACCTACACTGTGGTGCTGGTCAGAACTGGTCCAGATCTGCACACTTGGCTGCGGTCTCCTGACACAAACCCTTCTACCATGATGGCTAGCGGTGTGGTGCTGGGTGACATAGACAAGAAGGTGCATTTGGGGAACTTTCCTAGCTGTGAGTTCTGTATGGGTCACTCAGCGACCTCACTGAGGTGGACGACAGTGGTCCTTGTGCCTGGATGTGGCAGAGTGCCACCCAGGTGCTCCTGCCTGTCCTGTGCATCCCTTGTTAGATGCCCCCTTGATCCTGAGGTCAGCTGCACTGAGGCACAAACTGCTCTGCACCAAATGTTGGCCAGGGAATCCCCACATCAGTAGGACAGATGAGCACCAGGGCAGTGAGGACCCCGTGGTCCACCTGGGCAGGGTGGGGTATGGGACCGGAAGTGCTATCCCAGGGAGAAAGCAAGCAAAGGCAGGAGCCTTGGGGACCTTTGCAGTGGTCACTGTCTGGCGATCTGAGCCCATCTCTGCAGGTATGGGGACATACAGGCCACCCTGTGTGGACCCTGAATTCAGTGCACCAACCAGGGCTGGGCTGATCATGCTTTGGGGCACTGCTGTGAGGACACGAGACACCAGCCTGCTTCCCAGTGTGTCCCAGTGGAGGTGCAGGAACTCCCACGCCTCAGCCCCGTGCCTTTGCTCCCCTCGCTGGTGCTCTCAGGGACAGACAGCATGCAGCCACTCTGGCTTCTCCAGACCCAGCTGCCCTGGGCACTGCTGACCTGAGCTCCAGCCCTTGGCCGTAGCTGTGACGTGCACCAGCTTCCCCCCGATCCTGCCCCCTGCTCACAAAGACCATAACGGGCACAAGGCGCATCAGCCACCAGACAGTCTCTGTCCCAGTAAGACACCTGCTGATACAAAAACCTGAGGCAACTTCCCTGGTCATTTCCTTGGCTACACTGAAGGCAGGATCTGCAAATATGGTGATGCACACAGCTCATGGAGCCTGGTGACCAGGGGCCCATGGGCACGTGGGTCACCCCCTTATTGTGGAGCCCAGCGATCAGAGGAGCATCAGCCAGATGGGTCAGCG